ATTTACCCTCCTTACCTAGCACTCGACCGATGCCTAACCTCAATATTGCTCACCTTATTATACCACTTCGTGCGGGAGATAGAACGCAGATACCTATGATCAAAGGCTTTTCATGTCTTCCGCTCTCTATGGCCAGGTCTCACAGCCATAAAGGAAGACGGAGCGGACTGATGAGCAGTACACACGCCGGTAGTTGTAACCAATGGCTTCATTTTATAACATATTCTACACATACACACACACTGGATCGATTGGTACAAATGAGACTACTCTGTAGGTAGTTGTTTTTACAGACTACAAATATTTTTCCATACAGAAAAAAAATCAATATCCCAATAAGAGAAGAAATCAATATCTCTCACTGATGAACAAATCTGTCACACATAGCCTTTTAACCATCTTTCCGTCGATTGTGATTGGATCGATATGTTCACCCTTTCTTGACCCAAGTCGGCTCTTTGTGCGTGTACGCTTCAATGATGTTTTAGGATTAATTTGAAGTAATTTTGGAGGATGGTGACTAGCAGTGGAATCCTATTTGGGACGCATCAGCTAGTGGATGTATCTGCATTCTCCAATGAGTGAGATGGTGTTCCAGCTGACACTCGAACCCAGTACCCGTCCACTAAAATTACTTATAACTGGTATCAATCCATGATCAATTCGTCAGGACAAAACTAATCCATGCAAACCAACTATAGAGAAATTAATCTGATGCTCGCTAATGACTTGCTACAGGATGGACAGAGTTTCCTGGAGTTCTAGTGAGATGTCGTAATCAGTGAGATCCATCCAGTGAAGTGTGAGGATGAATGTGCTACCGATGACATCGGTTGGTGCCAGTCGCACTAAATCATGAATTAGTAGAAGTTAGAATTCATGTGCTGGCTGGACATTGAGGAGTCGGGCTTCAGTGGCTTGCCTTGTAACTGGAAGATCCTGGGTTTGAACCCTGGCAGTGAGTGCGTAATGCCACTGATTCCCAAACTAGGATGAAACATCTGCTCAGTACTCCCATCTGGTTGTTATCAATGGTTCTCTAACTGATATCAATCCGTGATCAAACTCGTAAAAACAAATCTAATCCTTACAAACCAACTATAGAAAATTACTTCAAGGTAATCCTCAGATATCGATCGAAGTGCTCGCAGTGGGAGCCGATACATCAGCAGTCACCGAACATTTATGTCTAATTAATCAACGCGAATCTCAAAATTGATCTGAAGACAAATACTAACTGAAGTCTATTGTACAAAAGGTGATTGTCATGGTCTAGTAGATAGCGCTTTGGCGTTTCACCCGATAGATATTGGGTTCGAGTTAGTCTCAGTGGGCTCCCTATGACTCACTGAGAATGCATGTAAGTACATCCACTAGCTGACGAGTCCCAAATGGGACGAAATTCGCACCATGGATTCCGCTGACAGTCACCACCCACTAAGATTTTTTCATCCTAAACTCTCCTACTTGCTAGCATTGGAAGCATTGTCTGTTTAAATATATATGTGTAACTGGAAGGCCCTGGGTTCGAATCCCAGTGGGTGCGTACTGCCGATGATTCCCAAACTACAATGAAACAGCTGTCCACTACTCCTTGTGGCTGGTTTCAAATGGTTCTCTAACTGATATCAGTCCGTGATCAACTCGTAAAAAATATATGTAAATGTCAATAATAACAATAACCCGTTTTCATGGCTAAAATGTCAGCCAGCTATTTTTCTCATACTTTTCAAAGTTTCACAGAGTTATCCTTTATTCTCAAACATAAAAGTTTCTCATAGAATTTATTTGTTTTCTATAATTTTCACGTAGACAGTGTAAAGTGAAAAATTGGCTGATTTTACAGTTGACACGTTTATCGATAGTCTATAGCTTTCTTTCATAGCGTAGTTTTCATCATGAATTATTAAAAGCTGAAGACTACTCAATGCATCTGTTTGTTTGTTTTTTCTTAATATGGAACTGTTCATTATCAGTCCTCACCAAGTGACAGTCTTCTTTGAAAGTGTTGATAATTTTAAGTATGCTCACCTAAGAATTGAACAACATTTGTCTTCACTGATGCTTTTGGTCCTCCATGCCGAATTAAAGTAACCGCCATGTTGCTAAGTTATTCAAAACAACAACAACAAAAAAAAACAGGATTTTCAGTGAACTAGCATTTGAGTACATGTATTCTAATGCGTTTGAATAATCTAGCCAACATGTCGTGTACGTTTAGACCTCTGTGCCATTAAACTACGTGTGTTAATCACATATACTGACATCTTTCTCCAGTATCATCAATGTTTCTCATGTCATTTAAAAGACTTTGACTCCATTATAGATAAGATTTTATTTTGATGAGGTCACACAGTGTTGTTATACATTAATATTATTTACTGATGACTACGTTTCGAGCACAAATTATTACTGCTCATAATCATATCAAGGCACTACAAACACAACTTTTTCCTTCATTTATATTTATATATATATGTTGCCTAAAGCAAAATAAAAATAATTGTGAAACTAGTAGTGATAACATAAACAGGAAAGAATATAAGTCATCTACAGTTATACCATATAAGGAAGGGACATCTGAGACCCTACGTAGGATTCTTATCAATGCAGGAATTAGGTGTCATTCAAACCTATAAACTCACTCAGAAAGAAGCTCTGTAGGCTAAAAGACCCGGTGGATCCAAATAAACAAAATAATATAATTTATAAGATATCTTGCAATGACTGTGAGTTAGGTCAAACTAGTAGCTCGGGAGTAGTGAGATTATCAGAACATAAGAATTTAGCTAAAGTTAGAATGATTGATCCCAAGAAGGTAAGTAATTTAGAAAAAAGCTCAGCACTGCAATGCACTGCATGCATTAACACAAAGTCACACAATAGGGTGAGTGGGACAGAGTCAAAATTCTACGAAGTAATATAAGTAGGGGGAGAGAAGGAGAGAGATTGATTACTGAATCCTGTCTGGTTCATCGAGTCTACACCCAACACGTACAACAGTAGTGACTCGACGCAAATACCAGAGATATGGAAGATATTATTACCAGTCAAATCAGGGGATGATAAATAATCTTAAACTGTATTTAATTAACATTATAACATTCTAAAAAATTACTAATTTTTACTATAAAGACACTCGTCTTATTCCCCATCTGATTGTATTTGATTGATAACACTCATATTATTATTTCTGAATGTACATTATCCCATATTGATTTTTATTCAAATGTCTAATCAATTTTTTATTCGTGTATATAAATGAAGCAAGAAAGTTGTGTGAGTAGTGCCTTGATATGATTATGGGCAGTAATAATTTGTGCTCGAAACGTTAATACTACTGTATAACACCATTGTTTGATTTATCAAAATATAATCTTATCCTTAATGGAGTTATACTCTACCACAGTGCCCAAGTTTTATACATATATCAAGGTTGTAGACCATTCAGTCACTGGGACTCTACTCAATAGCCAGCCTAATTCTCGTCCATAGGTCTACACTGAATGGTCTGCGAGCTTGCCTTGTAACTAACTGAAAGGTGTCGTGGTTTCGAACCCTTGTAGTGGGTGCGTACTGATGATGAGTCCCAAACTAGGCTGGAGGAAAAAGCTGTCCAGTACTCCCTGTGGGGCTGGTTTTCAATGGTTCTCTAACTCTGATATCAATCAATCCGTGGTCAACAACATTTATTGTTTTGTTTTTTTCTAAAATTAAGTTATCATCATCTGACTTAATATTTTTCAGTATCTATCTATGGGTTTATGATTTCACTTCAATTTTTTAATTGTTTAGTCTAATAAATCATGTATTTTTATTTTGTCATCAATATATTGGATGCTATGCAAGTTGTCTAAAAATATTCCAGAATAGGTGTTATGCAAAGATTAGAGTTAATAGCTCTACCTATATTTCAACCGAAAATCTGGATACGTTACGTTGACGATACATTTGTAAAATAATTAAGAGAAATGATTTAGAATAAATACCCATAAATTAATAAACAACATATTTACAGACATCAAATTCAGCACAAGAGAAGAAGAATTCGATAACAAAATCCCATTCTTAGATGTCGTCTTAATCAGGAGAACCAACACAAGAAATTTAGAAACACAAGTATGTAGAAAATCAACGCTGACACACAGATCAAATACTCAACTATACTAGCAATAATCCAATTACTCCTAAAAGAAACTGTGTGCAGACATTGTTTAAAAGAGTTCAAACACATTGTAACACTCCAGAGTTGAAAAGAATGTAAGAAAAATACCTACAAACGGTCTTCAAAAAGTGTTTAAAGTCCAATCAAAACACCAACGAGAAACCATCATCAAAGACCACAAGAAAATTCATCCTACCATACATGAGAAATATCGCTCTGAAATAACAGCTAGAATACTGAAATCGTTTGATATAGATATAGCACACAAGCCAGTCAAATCGCCTAATTCGGTATTATGCATCCCCTTCGAATTGGAATCCAAGAACACAAATCAGCCGTGAAAAGACACGATATATATTCTTTAGTATCAATGCATTTAGACAATTATGGACATTAATTTGATTGGGATAATGTCAAATTCTTAGACAGAGGAAACACCAAAAGTGCAGTCAGGGAATTCCTAGAAGCCTGGTACTCAAACGAAAATGCGATTAACAAACACGTTAATATAGACGAAATATACCAACTAATAAAAAGTAAATCAGGTGACGGGAAAGTTTAAAATCCAAGTCAATAGAAAATGTTCAATACATATATAAAGATAGTTACCGGGAGACACAATTATATCACTCATGAAGAAATTTAAATCATTTCACTTTATGCTAAATATTGCGCTGAAAGGGGATGTTGTCCAGAAGGACGACGAAAGCTCGGCAACTAAACCAACCAGCTCAGAGAACACTATTAATTGCAATTCCAAAATAGTGTAGTCTAACGCTATATTATGTATATCTCTTTTCCTGTTTGTGTTTTTTTTCACATTGAACTTTCTTAGAAACTTTTCTGGAACGCTTATCTAGCTGAAAAGAATTCAGACTCATCAACTGAACAAAATAGTTGTATTAAAACAGCTACAACAACAAATGGTAACTGTAGAAATGGTGACCATCAAGATTCTAGTCTAAATCTTGGTGATTTTAACGATGCTACCGGTGATGATGATGATATTTTATGGATTGAGACAGTCTATGGCTCATTATTATCGCATTTGTTTTGGTCTGCATGGTCACTTGTTCAAAGTCAGTTGTCTAGCATTCAATTCGATTTTATGGTATGTCGTGTTTTCATTGAAATTATTATTATTAATAAGTGTGCTACTGCCAAGGTTTATAAGTAGTATATAGATGTAGATATAAATATGTTTATCATTTAGAGGAATATTGAATAGTGAATACTAAATCTCATGTCTTCTCCCGTTACGCTTGGTGGAAATCTCATGAACTTCTGCTTTTGAAGACGGAGACGTACGAAGCTTCTTGCGGGGTTTCGATGCTGTCGCCGAGTTGGTGGGTGTCCAGGATCCAACGGCGAAGATGGTTGTGCTGGGAACGCTGCTGAGATGTTGAGTAAAAGCTGCATACGACAGTGTGGAGTGGGTAGGTGGTTAGGAGACTTAAAACATATTTGTAGAGTTCGATGGATAGACGACAGGCAATATAAGATTTACGTGCAGTGAAGCTGGAACTGGACGGAGACACCCTCTCTTATTTGCAGTGAAGTTGATAAGTCTACTTCGTCACGCATGCCTGTCACACTTAATGAACAGTCCCAGACGCAGTTGCTAGCGTCCCAGTTTATCGAAAGCGTTCCAGAACACGCTGGTCAACGCTGTACAATCTATGGACATTGGTGAGCTCGCGAAAATAACACGATAGCGACTGAGTACAACTGCAGCCACAATAGAGCCACCAAAATTAAAACAGAGGGAACGAAAAATCGAAGATTCACAGCGCGGCACAACGAATGATTGTCAGGAAAGGCCAGTTCTTTAAATGTGACAAACTTAGGACACTTGAGGAAATACGGAATTGTTTACTGGAAACTCGATATACGCAAAATGCTTCTACCATATATTTGAATCACAATTTCCACGTATCTTCGGTATTACCCTTCTTTGTCTTTCCTTCTATTTTCCATGTTATTTCACAATCATCCTTCATTCACTCCATCTCTTGGCTATTTGAGATGCTTGCAGATGATATACATATTTATTTCTGTATCTTTATACTACTTATAAAGCTTGTCAGTAGCACACACCGCGTGTACAGTTCAGATGCCTACCTTTTGATGAAGAGTATTATCTGAAGTAAGACACTTTCTAAATGGGCATCCCATATAGCTTGCGTTTTAAAATATCACTCTGATCTGCTTCGTTGGTATATATATATATATATATATATATATATATATATATAAGCTGTTAGTAGGGGGAGTGGGATATCGTTAAACCAACTGGTTAATACTATTGTGGACAGACATATAATGTCATGTAAGAAACTAGCGAATACTGTATTGTCAGACCCTGAGCATCCTCTCTATACACAGCTCTCTCCTTGCATTTCATCTGGTAGAACTAGAAGCAGTTATAGAAGGCTATATACTAGGACTACCAAGTACAAAAACTCCACAATACCTTATCTGGCACAGCTGTTATGTGATGAGAAAACCGTTAGGGGTATGACACGATCAACTTACTGCAGCACTCTAACAAATAGTTTCCCATTAGTTTTTGTTTTCGTTTCTTCGTTACTATTATATTGTCGTTGTTCACATCTATTACACACTAATTTTATATTTCATATCCTGTTGTGCATTGTTTAAAAATGTGGATGCAACGCTGTTCTTTTTTATTTTATTTTTTTTTCGGTTGTTTGTTTTTTGATTTTAAAATCTTATAAAATTTATGAGGTAATTAGATGCAATATTGTAATGCACGCTGAAAATTCCATACCTATACCACAAACACTGTTTGGAATGAAGCTGTTATTATTATCATTATTATTATTCAAGTATTGGTTTATAGGGATCTTGTTTGATTGGATGGAGGATTTCATCATGAGCTGACATTGGTTAGAGAACCATTGGAAAACCTGGGAGTACTGGACAGCTGATTCGCCCTCGTTTGGGACTCTTCAGCAGTACGCGCCCACCGGGGTTCGAACCCAGGACCTTCTGGTAACAAGGTTACAATACTTGAATATCAATGAGATGCTCACTGGCGACTGGCCCTATTCAGGTAGGTAGTTACCTGGGGTTCCAGTGGGAAGTCGTGACCAGTAGGGTGCAGCAGGTCGGGTGTGAGAACAAATATTCGCCGAAGACATTGGCTAGCGCTTGCGCTATATCGTGAATTGGCAGAAGTTAGAATTCATGGGCCATTGGATCGGGTCCCAGTGAGTGGTTTAATGGTCTACGAGCTAGCTCGCCTTGTAACCAGAAGGTCCTGGGTTCGAACACTGTTGGTGGGTGCGTTCTTCTGAAGAGTCCCAAACTAGGACGAAACAGCTGTCCAGTACTCCCAGGTTTTCCAATGATTCTCTAACCAATATCATCTCATGATGAAATCCTGTATCCAAATCATAATTATTATTGTTGCTATTGTTATTATTATTACTATCATTATTATTATTATTATTATTATTATTATTATTATTATATTGACGTAAATGTGCGTGTGTGTGTAATGTGTAATTTTTCCTTATAGGAATATGCCAAAGTTCGTATGGACCATTATCATTTAATGAAATCCTGGTTACCTTCGAAGCATAGGTGAATTGTCTAAATAGCGCACATCATAGTGTATGTGTGTCTTGATTTCTAATCTCCTCTTTGTTTGCTTGTTTGTTTGTTTTGTTTGTTTTTTCACTTCATCTCTTAATTACTCAATCAATAACTAATTCTTTTTTTTGCGGAGAAATGAACCGATCATTCTTCATAGCTACCACTACTCTCGACTAATCATTTTGCTTAGGATTACTTATTGTAATTCTACAACAGTGTGTTGTAGTTGATTATATATTTCTGTAATATTTTTTTTCCGTATAAGAAGAGGAAATGTAGTCTCTGTGATACAATATACATATTTTTTCGCAAGTGATTAGATAGTCGAAAAAAAATCAATAAATGATTCTGTCTGACTGTAAGTATCTCCAACGCATTGAGATCACCTGTGTATGTGTTGATTCAACTACACTAGAATAGGTCGCTGGTGTTGTTGTTGTTCTACCTGACTGTGTTGTTCAGAACTGTGATTAGTATTGTGTATTATTGGATTTATATACATATACATCTACATATAACTAAGCACAATATACCCGGTACTACATACACTTTCCTATTTTCATATTTCTGAATAATGTGTAGTTCCTCCTATCCCCTGTATAATTAATTAATTGGCTAGCTATTATTATGTCTCCAAATGTGTACTTTACCCCCACCCCACCCTAACTACTACACTACCCTTACTATTACTACTACTCATGTCTTTGTTTACTTTTCTTCTTATCCTTCCCTATTTTTTGTTTTATTTTTAACTAATAAATTATTATTTTTGATATATGCATACATACAAGTATTTATTGTCATGATAGTTTCTTTTTAATGATGTCAAAAAAGAAGAAAAAAGAACCGAGCTACGAATGGATTTTCTGTTATCCCTTGATTTTAACCATGCAGGATGAGGTTTTGTAATAGGTTGATGGACTCCTAATGTGGTTGGCTCTGCAGCGACAGTCATACTGGGTAGATAGAGAGTAGAGAGAGAGAGAATGGACCACTGAAAAGAGGTAATTAATTGTAACGACAGAAGATAAGAGTCAGGCAACAGATCGTTTCTAGTGAGAAAATCAACAGATATTTATAGATTTTTATATACAGTATTATCCGTTATTATTAGCAGAGAAACAGCGTCTTCTGATTGGTTGTTTTTTTCGCTGAAAGTTATTCTGTCATCTCTTTGTGGTCATTTCTTTGAAGGTCAAACCATATATCTGCGAATCGTATCCGCCCACACAAAGTCTGCTATGATTGGTTGTTGAGTTAGTCTTCGTTTTTGTTTTGTTTTTTCTCATGACCAAGATATGGGACGTAAACATTGATGTAAATTGCTGTCTACCAATTTTGGCTAGCAGAGACAGCTCTCACCACATAATGAGTTGAAATTGTACTGTCAGTATATGGATGGCACATTTCTGATATAACCGTTAATATACTTGGTAGTTGCGCTAACGGATTTCCTATCTAGCCGATTCGCTAGCTTACTATTCTAATCAATATTAGCAGTAACAACATGATACGATACCACGGAAAACGCGCCACAAGTAGACAAGAAGAGAAAACTGACTGTTTCGTATCAACAGTGAAAATGATTGGCAGCGCTTGCGTATGTATATATGCTTTAAATGACCTCCAAAGATACTGATTACATTGGCAAATTAAAACAGTCACCAACCAATAGGATTTCAAAGGACATAAGTGGGGTGAGAGAAATAAAACTAGACATGTAGGAGATTAGGTTTGTATATCAATTTCTGATTATGGAAAAGGAGAATGAAGCAACGAACATCTTCGGGACAAGTTCAATGCTGACCAGTAGACTTCACCATAGAGAAAGTAAGCTGTGATTATAGCATCTCATTCTCTTAGACGTCTTTCTGACCAGGAAAGAGGCTGCTACACTAAGAAAGGAATGCGTATACGACAACGAAAGATCAGTACACTCATTTTTTGAGTTTTGCACCTTTGAAATATAAACGTACCTTGGTGAAGTGTTTGGTCCATAGTGCTAGAATAATCTGCTCAGTTTCCAGACGAAATATCTTTCGCTATGTCACCTTTACAATTCGAACAATTGCGAATCATTGTTCAGTGAGTCGGTGTATACACATCTGCAAATTACATGCATAGATATGCATGCTTTAGGCTATAAAGTTTCATCCTGTTACTTGTAAAAACTTTTTGTTTCTCTCTCCCTCAACCTAAAGCTTAAATTTATGCATAAATTAGCTGAGATATCCATGATCTTCTTACTTCTTGTTTGTTTGTATCAGCAACATTAAAGAATTGCATCCCACAAGATGCGAACGCACATGTGACCTTGAGCCGACCAATCATTAAATAGGTGATTTTTACACAAAAAGAGAAGTTTATTCACAAGAAAATGCACGAAAACACATTAAACGGTGCCTTTTTCTGCCATGACTTAAAGATATGTCCCATTTATGATGAGGAGTGTCAGTTTTCAATTTATATCTGTTTCTGTGCACGTAATACCGAGGTGACTGAAGATAAAAAAATTTTGTGACCCATTTATCGCTCTGATCCTGTTTTGCAGTCTTCTCAAAAACCCGTCGATTGAATTACTAAGGTTTCCAGTAAGGGGATCGACGACTACTAACTAGGAAAATGTGGATAATAAAACTAATTAAAATAGATAATATCAACTCCAAAAATATCCTTAATCGTAAACCTAACCCTAACCGTAATCCCGTCACTAATTATAACATGGATCCTAACCTTAACCCTAATACTAACGAGTTATTAACACATTGTCCAAACAGTATTTAAAAACGTGATCTGAGTGAAATTTACATCGTACATCTTGAATAGCGTTCACATTAGAGTGTAGTAATGATAGGTCCTTTTATCCAATGACTGGCATGCGCTTGAGGTCATTGGAGCATTCGCACCCTTTTGACGTAATGCTTTAACTTTGCCGTTTTGCTTATTGGGCAAAGTTAAACTTTAGGCATCAGGAACTACCAATCAGCTAGTGTCCTTGAAAGCACCAATCACATGAAAGAGGCTATTTGTGGAAATGAAATACATATATTTATGAAAAAAATGCACTCAAAGTGTTACAGAGGATACTTTTTTCTCACATATGATAAGAACATCTCCCAGTTTAGCATAGGATTGTCAATGGAAAAGTCACACCACATCCCATTATACATCAATTCATCTATAGATAACATCGCTTTGCTATCCATTTACAGCTCTAATCTTGTTTTTTAACCTTCCCCAAAAGCCTTCGATAGAATTGGTGTGGGTTCCTGTAATGGGATCCACAAGATCATTAGAATGTTTGACTCTGTGGTGAATCTGTCCAAGGGATGACAAGGGGTTTTGACCTTTCCACTCATCTGGGTTAAGGAGAGATGGAATCTGGCGAAAAAAATGTCCTTACAGAATGTTGGAATCATCAGCTTACCTTCCCTGACACTAATTCTTCTCAAAAAATTATACAACAATATATATGTCCACCAAAAGACTTGCCGAACCTTTTTATAGTCACGACACCTCCACATGAACAAATCCTTTCTTTCCTAATCAATCCTACATTTAAGCAATGCTGGAAGACTTGATCCTCAATAAATCGTAAACGCAACTCGCTAGAGCAGTCATTTGACTAGAAACAAGCGGAATAGATGCTTCAACTCACGTGAATAAAACACATTGGACCTTTCAAGGTCAATGGTGCGGACGCACTTCATTGGTGATTAGTAGTGCTTAAAGTTTAAATTGGCCACTTATTGATTTCTTTAAAAAACTACAGAGAATATTCATTCTCCTACCAAATTCGCCTTGATAAGGAAGTATCGTCTGCACAACTATCTATTTATCTGTCTAGACTGTAACAAAAATAGCGATACTTCGGACGAGATTTCATTTACAGGTAGCAAACTGACTTCATAACCTGCATCACACTGATATTGTGATACAATATTTGATTGTCTGATTTTAACGGCTTCTGCATTCTCTTGGTGTGTAATTAATATGGAGGTAAATAAATACATGAAGGCAATAACAATAACCTATAGCTGCATCGGGTTTCGGTAGTGAATGGCTGACGTTCAGTGACTTATTGGACTCGTTAAACTGAAGGCAGTAAGTGAAACACCCTCACCATTCATCATGTCATGTTACAGTCTGCAGTGTGTGCACGATTCCTCCTTTCTTCTCCTGAAATTCGGACTGTCCCTTCGAAGACTGTTGAGTATAAAACAAATAACCCGCTCCTTGTATTCTAAAACCTTAAATCTAGGGTGGACATGAGTACTATGAAAACCAGAAGACACGTGATTGCAATTATTTGAATAGCAAGAAACCCTGGCGAAGTTCAACAATAGAGTCCCAAGATTGTAAACGTTCCAATGACCTTGTGAATATTCCAATGACCCTGAACGCATGCTAGTTATTGGTTGAGGAAGCTCACCATTATTCTAGCGCGAATAATTGTGCATACTGGTAAGCGACACTGAATTAATTGTCTTCTAGGAACTTTCTTTGAAAAGTTGAAACTGTCTTTGATGATTGGTTGTTATTGGTGTCGAAAGTTTAACTTTGCCTGAATATCTTCTTTCTGTCCACTTACTGGGTGCCAGAGCGAATAACGTTTGGGTTTTAGGAATTTATGATACCTAGATTCGCAAAGGGTTTATGGAGCTGATTCTAGATAGGAGTGCTCATACACTCCTCCTCCCTATCATTCAGCGTCTAGTGTTACCAGGCACCACCATTCACACAGATGAATGGGCGGGATATAGCCAAATATCACAATTGGGATATATACATCATAGAGTGAACCATTCGAATGATTCCGTCGACCCTGTCACCGGTACTCATAATAATTCCATCGAAGGTTTCTGGGGAAGATTAAAAAATAGAATAAAAGCTATAAATGGCTTTCAAAACCAAGTTATTTTTAGTCATCTGGATGAATACATGTATAGAAACTGGTTCAACTTAAAAACTGAAACCCCAATACAAAATTGGGAGATATTTTTATCTCATATTAGAGAAAAATATCCTGTTTAACGTTTTTTATGCTTTTATATGTAAATAGACGTAAGATTTTATGCAAAAATCATCCTTTTTCTGACTGGTCTGCTCAAGGTCACTTGTGCGTTCGTTCCTTGGGACTCTATTGTAGAACTTTGCCGAAACCCTGACAAATAAATATGCGGTGCGCTATTTTTGATGTCTGGTATCTCACACAGGGAGCTTGTATTGTTCTACATAGATAGGAAATATATATATTATTGGTAGGAATTTCAAATTAAGGCCAGTGTAAAATGTGGACAGAAAAACAATGGATTATCCTTGAGTGGTGATATGGTGATTGAGATCAGTGTTGAAATAAACCAATCAGGATTGGCCTACGTAAAATAACACTCAGTATTTTATTGTTCATGATCGTAGACTGACTGTGTCCCCACTTAAGCAGAGTTGCCTGGGGGAAACAGATGGCTGACTTATAGTTCTGTCAGCGTAGTCAAGAAGTATTCGTGATCACTGTGTCTGTGTCCAAGTCGGCATCTTTATTTCAGCCTCCATTTTGTTGCGAAATACATATATATATGAGTGGTGACATCATAGCAGAGTGCATTTGAATTATTCAACAGAAGCACAAACGAACAAATATGTTACCTCCGGGCTTTTTATAAAGCCATCCGGTACACAAGAAGCAGGATAACCACTGCGATTTCCATAGATCTTTGAAACTGATTCCTCAGAGAGAAAATTGGTCATATTGTCTGTCTAAGTGAAAATGTGTAAAGTGTTTAG